AAGCATATTTAATGCCATCTCAGACATAACAAAGTTCATTAAAAAGTATTTAAGCATTTCAGTGTCTATGTTTCTTAAAGCTTTTTCTCCTACGTCACCCCCAACCCTCATGGAGACAGTCTAAAGTTTCTGATAGTATCAGTTTCTTCAATAAAAAACAAAAGACCTTTCTTTTGGTGCTGGGGATTGAATCCAGGGGTACCTGAGCAACAACCCCAGCCCTGTTTAGTTTTTATTTTCAGACCAGTCGCAGATAAGTTGCTGAGGCTGTTCTCAAACTTGTGATCCTCCTGCCTCAGCCTCCTGGGCTGCTGGGATTACAAGAGTATGCTAATGTGCCTGGCTAGAAACAAAAGACTTAATATTAAATTTCCTGCCAGTGGTTCTGTCACAGTCTACATAAAAATTAATTAATGGCAATTGCATCTCATATTTTATCTGTACCTTTAGGAAAAATATACAGAAATCAATTCTCATCATCTCAGACTCTTGAAAGCATCTAGCCTTGTTCACCACTCCTTGCTCTTCCACATATCACACTGGGCTAACTCTTGACCTCTAGGTCCCCTGTTGGCTGCCTCCGTCTCCAAGGCTCTTCTTGACTGATGGTTCTCTTGAACCCATGCTCTTCCTAACTGATGCACATACTGACATGACTCTGGGCTCTGTCTGCTCTTTATTAGACACTTTACAGGTAACCTCCAGCCCTGTAGTCCTAACTACCGCCCATTTGCTGATGACAACCACATTTCTATCTGGGAGCCTGGATTATTAAACAAACTTTAACATTCACATACCAAACGTCCTACTCACCGAACCTCTTGGACCTCACAGGCCTATCAAAATGAGTGTGGCTGAAAACAGAAGTCTTTATTCACCATTCCTCTACCTCATTCCTGCCCTGAGAATCTCAGGCAAATGTGAACATTCATCTCCGGCAGCTTCTGGCTTCCATCTTCGCTGCTCAGGAAATTCCTCACCTCCCTTACCTGGGCTCTGGCCACATTAATCCAATATCATCTCTCTACTAGTTAAGCTTCCTGTTTCAGGAGCAGATGCTGGACTTGCCGATCTTTTGACATCACTTAATACCCAAAGCCTCCTGCTTCCTATAGTTCTGCTCCTTACTTTCATGACTGTAAGGAGAACTGTGGGGAGGAGGAGGCACCCTGATGTTCATCCTTGATCATGACCTAGTTGTCCTTTCTGCTCAGTACACAATACCTCGTGATGAGACATTGATCATAGCAGCTTTCACACCAGGGCTGGACTTGAATGAAGGTCAACAGCACAGTCAGATCCTGACCAAGTCAGGAAAATATAATTAATCTTACTACATGTTTTCATTACCAAACAATAAATAAAACAACTATTCTTATCATATATTTAGAATTTCATCCATCTTCTGATCTCTACAGAGATGGCATAAAGATGGTAAAAACATCATGATAAAAAAAACTCATGATCAAAACTGTCACCCCAAAAGACAGCATTCTTATAAGGCAAGATAGCAAATAAATATATGAGTTTCATAAAACTAGTTAGGAAAAACTACCTTTTGATAAAATTTCAAAAATTCAAAATGTAGGAGAATTTAAAAAAGCACAAACCTTTTTAATAAAATAGACCTGCCCTGAAGTCATCCTTGCCAATTGTTAGAGATCAGCTGTGATTTTAAAAGTACTACGTATTTTGTAAAATGAAACTAAACATAAGTGGTGACTCTAGGCAAATACACTAGGAGGCAGTAAAAAGAATGTTGGGCTCTATCTAAGAAATAAGGTGGAAATCTGCATTTTAGTGGTTGATAAACAGTCTAGAAGTAATTGTTTTCTTTTTTTAAAGTTTTTGATTAATTAATTAACTATAATTAGGTATATACGACAGCAGAATGCATTTTAATTCACTGTACATAAATGCAGCACAACTTTTCATTTTTCTGGTTGTACATGATGTAGCATCATACCATGTGTGCAGTCATACCCATACCTAGGGTAATGATGTCCATCTCATTCCACCATTTTTCCTGCTCCCATGCCCCCTTCCCACCCACACTACCTTTTGCCCCATCAAAGTTCCTCTATTTTTCCCATGCCCCCCACCGATTATGGATCAGCATTCACTTATCAGAGAGAGAGCATTCAGGTCAGTTTTTGGGAACTGACTTAATTCACTTAGCATGATATTCTCCAGCTTCATCCATTTACCAGAAAAATGTCATAATTTTATTCTGTTTTAAGGCTGAGGAATATTCCATTGTGTATATGTACCATAGTTTCTTTATCTAGTCATCTATTGAAGGGCATCTAAGTTGCCTTCACAGTTTAGCTAGTGTGAATTGAGCTGCTATAAACATTGATGTGTCTGTGTTACTATAGTATGCTGATTTTAAGTCCTTTGGTATAGACTGAGGAGTGGAATAGCTGGGTCAAATGGTGGTTCCATTCCAAGTTTTCTAAGGAATCTCCATACTGCTTTTCAGACTTGTTACACCAATTTGCAGTCCCACTAGCAATGTATGAGTGTGCCTTTCCCCCCACATCCTCACCAGTATTTATGGTTGTTTGTATTCTTGATATCTGCTGTTCTGACTGGCATGAGATGAAATCTTAGAATAATTTTGATTTGTATTTCTCTAATTACTAGGTATAAGAGAGCAAATACAGACAATCATTGATCACACAAACAAAGAAATAAGGGAGCAAATACAGGTAGCAAAAGATTGCTTCAAGAAAGAGATAGAGATTCTGAAATAAAATCCAATCAGAAATCTTTGAAATGAAGGAAACAATAAACCAAACAAAAAACTCAGTAGAAAGCATCACCAACAGACTAGATCACTTGGAAGACAGAAGGTCAGATAATGAAGACAAAGTATACAATTTAGAAAACAAAGTTGATAACACGGTGAAGATGGCTAAGAAACAGAACATGCAAGAATTATGGGATAGCATCAAAAGACTAAATGTAAGAATTATTGGGATAAAGGAAAGTACAGAGATTCAAACTAATGGAATGCACAATCTCTTTAATAAAATAATATCAGAAAATTTCCCAAACATTGGGCTGGAGCTGTGGCTCAGTGGCAGAAAACTTGCCTAGCATGTGTAAGGCACTGGGGTCAATTCTTAGCACCACATACAAAAATAAATAAAAGAAAGAAAGACTTGCTGTCCACCTACAATTACAAAAAATAAAAAGAAAAAGAAAAAAAAATTCCCAACCATGAAGAACGAATTGGAAAATCAAATACCAGAGGCTTATAGGACACAGAATGTACAAAATTGCAACAGATCTACACCAAGTCACATTATAATGAAAATGCCTAGCATACAAATTAAGGATAGAATGTTAAAGGCCACAAGAAAGAGGAATCAGATCACACATAGAGGGAGACAGACCAATTTATATCTCAGCAGATTTTTCAACCTAGACCCTCGAAGCCAGGAGATCCTGGAACAACATAAACCAACCTCTGAAAGAAAACGGATGCCAACCAAGAGTATCCAGCACAATTAAGCTTCAGATTTGATGATGAAATAAAAACCTTTCATGATTTGTTTTCTTAATGTAAACACACTCTAAGTGACTTTTCATCCTTCTGATTACAGACAGATGGAGGAAAAGATTCTGGAATTGTGGGATTTGCTATTTGAGAAATAAGCACATGCAAAAATAAGAACACTAAGGCATTCCAGTCATTTACCCTAAAGATAAATAAGCTGCTTTGGCTGCGGGTAGGGGGTATTTACCATCAGGATGCTGCCTAGAAGGCTACATGGTATAGAGCCTACTTTAAACTACTGTTGTTATTGTTTCTGCAAAGGGATGCTCAGTTGCAATTCTCAGGTATAGCAAAATAGACACCACAATCCAAAGTGAGGAGTGAAATGAAGACTTACAAATTCACAAATATATACATACAGTCCTGTATAGCACCACAATGGTCAACAATGAACCATTATACACCAGTAGTCCCATAAGATTGTATATCCTGCTAACAGTAACCTCATAACCATGAGTGCATTGTATGATTTTCCCAGGACAGCTAAACTGGCTAACAGTACACATCCCAGAAAGCACCCTTGCTGTTCAGGAACACATGGCTGTATTTAAATCCATCACCCTTACAGAGGTATACAACATCTAGAGATTTATTTGGATAAGTTGTTGGTATGTTGTGACTCTCACATACCCTTCTCTACAGGGAAGGGTGTGTGTGCAGGCTTCTCAGAGAAAAGGGCTTTCATGGAACCACTCAGAGAGCTTTGCATGGGCTCTTACAGCTTTAGGTTGAGATTGTATCTGCATCGTACATGAGAAATCTAATGGTAAGAGGATAGCTAAAGAGATCTGCAGCCTAGGATGGACAGGAAATTTGGGAAGAAACCGCTCTACCCAAATCAGGTGGGGCAGAAGACAACTGAGTATTCTCCCAGGGACTTGATGAGTGTCAGGAAGAGAGAGGGGAAGACTGGGCTCATTAGATCTTTCCAAAGGCCAGCACAGGCCATGAGATGGCATTTTAGAACTTCTGTTTGATGGTTGTGGGAAACAGGGAATTTTATTTCCTGAACGTGAAGGAGTCTTCTTAGACTCTGTATTTTCAATGTGAAATCGACAGAAAGAGGAAAATAAAGCAGGAAGACCAGCAGGAAAATGGAGCATAAAATCCACCCCGATCTGGACTTTTGGGTTATGTTAGCCAATTGACCATTGCACTGCCAAGCTACTTTGACTAAGTTTTCTGGTGACACTTCATTTTTTAATTCTTTTCAAATGATCTGGGAGAAAAATCTGCATTTTAAACTTGTCCTATGCTAAAATGGTCCAAAATCAAGCAAATGCAAAAGAGTCCAGATAACAACTTCAGCAGGTTCTTCTTAGGGTGAACTCTATCCCTGGAGAAGATGTGGCCACTAAATCAAAATGAGACACAAATTGAAAATGGACTTCTTTGGCTGGAAGGTAAGAAACAAGGACAGTCAACCATGTGTTACCTGGTAATGAACTCTCTGGGAATCAGAAGAAACTGACTGCAAGTCCTAATGAGAAAGTGGGAGAAAAAAAAATCCATACCTTAAAATTAGTTTGAACAAGCTGCCCCATAATTCTATCAACTGAAACTCCCAATTTAATGTGAAAATGCTCATCTGGAAAGCATCTAGCCCACTCATATTCACGAAAGTTAAACAAGGAAGGTAATGCCAGAAATAATAAAAACATACCGACTTGGATAGAGAGAAAACAGGTCATTGGTCTACTGAAACTTATAATTCCTCATGTTTAGAGTTAAACAACATATTGTAATTTCAAGGATAGAGAAGACCACAGTAAAGAACAGGCAAACTTATTGTAATAAATGGAAATCATGTTTCATTAGCATTTAAATTTTTGGGTTTTAAAAGAAATCTTCTGAGGCTGGGCATATAGCTCTGTGGGAGAGCACTTGCCTAGCATGGCAGAGGCCTTGGGTTCAATGCCCAGTCTCTCTGTCTCTGTGTCTCTGTCTCTCTCTCTCCTTCTCTGCCTCCATGCACCCTCCATGCATCCTCTCTCTCTCTCTCTCTCTCTC